TTTCTGCGTGTATGCCTGAAGGCCAGAAGAGGGCACCAGACCTCATTACAGATGGTTGTGAGCCACCATGTGGTTGCTGGGAATTGAACTCAGGACCTCTGGAAGAGCACACAGTGCTTTTAGCCACTGAGCCATCTCTCCAGCCCTCGTAGGTTCTTTTTCTTACTTTTTTGCTGTTGTTTTAAAGGATTCATTTTTTTTAAGTGTTGTGTTTGAGTGTTTTGCCTGCATTTATGTCTGTGTATCACATGGTTGGATGCCTGGCACCCATAAAGGTCAGAAGGGTTGGAATTAACAGACATGTTAGCCATCATGTGGGAGCTGACTTTAGAACCCATATTCTCTGGAAAAGCAGCTAGTGTTCTTAATAACTGAGACAAGTCTCCAGCCTCCTAAAATAGAATTTTTAGCAGTTCATATTTTGACTATATGTAGTTTTAGAATTAGAATACAGGCAGAACACTAGCAATTTATTTTATGAATCCTTCTGTACACTTTGAGGAGCTAACTTGCATGTGTCTAAAGTATAAGATCTGTTTTTTGTTGTTTCTGTGAATCATTGGCATGTGTGTGCAAGTAAAGTTTTTGATTTAATCGGACTTGGACATACTATCTCCTGGGTCTTTCCAATTATAAACCTTCAACCTTTTGAAGAAAAGGAAAACTTAGGTTGGCCAGATTTTTTGTGTGTTTGTTTTAAAGAGTTTCATACTTAAAAGATCTGCCTGCCTCTGCCTCCCCAGTGTTGGGATTAAAGGTATGCACCACCATACCCAGCCTTTTTTGTTGTTAAATTTTTATGATTTTTAAGCTGATGTGTGTGTTGGGTGTTTCAAAGTGCAGGTTCCCACAGAGGCCAGATGGATCTCTGAGTTTGAGGATAGCTTGGTCTACATAGTGAGTTCCAAGACGGCTAGAACTCCATAATGAAATCTTGTCTCAAATAATAATAATAATAATAATAATAATAATAATAATAATAATAATAATAATAATAATAATAAAAAATAATCTACAATCAATGTAAATATTTTGGGAAGCAAACATAAAATATAGTCATTGACAGTTTTGGTGGGCATTTTCTCTGAATTTACTTACCATAAGAACTGGAACAGTTTTTCTAGGAGTAATTTTTGTTTTCTTCTCTTTACAGGAAAACAAAGAAGAACAAGCAGAAAAGTAAGAGTATAAACTTTCTTAATTGATGTATTCTTCTCACTGGTTTAAACTGACATTTAATAAATATGTGGTTTATTGACCTCAAATAGAGGTCTTTCAGCAGTGTTGTATAGATAAGTGATTCTGATCTGTTGGCCTCCTTAAGATGTTGTTTTCACCCACTTGCTTTAATTTAGTCTTAATGATTTTCCTAGTAAAATAGCATTTTAAATACATGACATTACTAAATCCTTCTGAAATGATGTGATAAGTTTTTTTGGTAGAAACATTCTTTAGCTTGGATTTATGAAACATCTGTAATGGGGAAAATGAGAACTTAAAATATACTTTACCAGGAAGAATTTTAGTTAACCAATACCATCCCTACCCACCCCCCCATACACATTTTGTAGCACCTGGGAATGGAGATGGTGGCAGTACCAGTGAGACACCTCAGCCTCCTAGGAAGAAGAGAGCCCGGGTAGATCCTACAGTTGAAAATGTGAGTTTTCTTTATTTTTTCTGGCAGCTTAGTCTAAAAACTGATGATCCTTTTCCTCTACTTTTCCCTTCCCCTGTGGTTAAGATGGGATCTTGCTGTATGGCTTTGGCTAGCTTTGGGACTTCAGAGCCTCATGCCTCAGATTTGAATTGCTGGGGTTACTGAAATATGCTCCCAAAGTATATAGGCAGGTCCTGGTCTAGAAGTAACTAAAAAGTGTCTTTAAAGGTAGCCATGTTAGTTGTACATGGTGGTGCAAGCCTTTAATCCCAGCCCTCAGGAGGCAGAGACAGGCAGATCTTTGTTCTTGACGTCAGCCTGGTCTACGTAGTGAGTTCCAGGACTGCCAGAGCTGCGTAGTAAGACCATGTCTCGAGAGTTAAAGATAGAGGATAGGAAGAAAAGGAAAGAAAGCCATGTTTTGCAGTAATCATTTGGTAATCAACAGTAAATGTGAAGATGCTGTTAAGTTGTATCAGTTCAGGATACTTCATTTTTCATAAGAGGAGAAAATGCAGGAAGGGCCATTATGACACAAGAATATATTCTATTCTGCTGGCTTTATGATTTCATGTATTGGTTTTTTTTAGTGACAGTTCCTTCTTTATGAGTGACTACCTCAAGGAATTGGTGTACGCCTGGTGTCTGAAGGTCAAGAGAAGTTAATTAAGCAAGGAAAGTTTGTAATACCCTCCGTTTTTCTATTTAGGAAGAAACATTCATGAACAGAGTGGAAGTTAAAGTAAAGATTCCGGAAGAGCTGAAACCATGGCTTGTTGATGACTGGGACTTGATTACCAGACAAAAGCAG